TGTATATTTCAGTGCTCCCTGATTGGGGGCATAAATATTGATGAGTATTATGTCTTCTTGTTCTGTGGTCCCCGTTATCATTATGAAATGTCCATCTTTGTCTCTTGCTACCTTTTTTATCCTGAAGTCTGTTTCATCTGATATTAGTATGGCTACACCTGATTTTCTTTGAATACCATTTGCTTGGAGTGTCACTTTCCACCCCTTCATGTTGATTCTTTGTTGTTGTAGCTGAGATGTGTCTTTTGGAGGCAGCTTATGGTTGGGTTTAGTTATTTGATCCAATCTGCTACTCTGTGCCCTTTTTATTGGTGAGTTCAATCCATTTACATTTAGGGTGATTATTGATATATGAGGATTTCCTATCATTCTATCTTTTGTTTTCTGGTAGGATGGTGTCTCCATTGTTTCTTTGCCTTTTTGTTGCTGTCTATTATTTCAGTGTGGTGGTAATCCTAAGATTTTTCCCTCTGTTTCTTCTTTTTTATGTTATATATTTCAGTTTTGGATTTTTTTTTGAGTGGTTACCATTAAGTTTATGTAAAAGAAAGGTTCAGGGGCCGGCTGAGTGGCTCAGTTGGTTAAGAGCTTGCTCAAGAGTGCGAGCTCTGAGCAACAGTGGTTCGAGTCCCGGCCCGAGCTGAGCTGCCGCTGAGCTGCCAACAGGTGTCAGGATAGCTCAGCTAAAGACAAAAAGAAAGGTTCATATTTAGAGTATTCCATTTTCTTCAGCATACTTCCTTTCTCCATTCCCTTTTGCCAGTTCAGACCTTTACTCTCTCCCATTTTATGCTTTTGTTGTCACAAATTATCCCTGTTTATGCTGTGTTGGTTTATGCTGTGAGTAGCAAATTGTCTTTTTCCTCTTTTTTTTTTTTTTCCTTCTTTATCCTGTATGTTATGTTTAAATGTATAGTTTCGTTTTGGTGTAGGGGTTGCCATTTCCTGCTTCTGTCTATCTATTCGTAATACTACTCATGGTTTTGTATTCTTTTGCTTTTTTGTTTCAGGTTGAATAGCCTCCTTCAGTATTTCTTGTAGTGCAGGTGATGTGTTAGAAAATTCCCTCAGCTTCTGTATATCTGGAAAGGTCTTTATTCCTCCTTCATATCTAAAGGATACCTTTGCTGGATATATTATTCTTGGCTCATAATTTCTCTTTTTCAATAGTTTGAATATTTGATTCCACTCCCTCCTGGCTTTTAGAGTTTCTGCTGAAAAATCTGCTGATAATCTAATGGGCTTTCCTTTGTAGGTTACTGCCTTCTCTTCGCTTGCTACCTTAAGGATTCTTTCTTTGTTGTTAATTTTTGACAGCTGCAATACAATGTGTCTTGGAGAAGGCCTGCTGCGATTGAGGTAATTAGGTGTTCTATTTGCTTATTGGATTGGAAAATCCACTTCTTTCCACAAGTTTGGAAAGTTCTCGTCATCTATTTGTTTGAATACTCTCTGTTCTCTTCTCCCTTTCTTCCCCTTCTGGTATGTCCATTATTTTTATATTGCTCTTTCTGAGGGAGTCAGAAAGTTCTTGTAGAGTTCTTTCATTTCATTTCATTTAACTCTTAAGTCTCTCTCTTCTTCCATCTGTGTCATTTCCAGATTTCTATCTTCGATGTCACTGATTCTTTCCTCCATCTGGTCAACTCTATTACCTAGGCTGGCTATTTCATTCTTCATTTCTTTTATTGAGTTCGTAATCTCTAGAAATTCTACTTGGTTCTTTTTAAAAATTTCAATCTCTTTAGTAAAGTGTTCGTTTTGTTCTTTGATTGTGTTTCTGAGTTCATTAAACTGCCTGTCTGTGTTTTCTTGCATCTCGCTGTTTTTTCAGAACTGCAATCTTGAATTCTCTGTCACTTAAATCACATATTTCCAAGTTTTTGAGTTCATTTTCTGGAGACTTTTTGTTTTCTTTCTGAGCTGCCTTATTACCGTGGTTATTCATGGCAATTAATTATTATTTTCTTCCTAGACATCGACAGGAGTGGGTTCTGCAACATGTTGATAGGAAGAGGTCTTTATTTTGCTTCCCAGTAGGTGTTGGTGGAATATTTTACATTTTTTCCCATTGCAGCCTTTTATTCTCTCTCACGCTGTAGTGTAATATTTTCTCTTGCACTGTTCCGGCTTCTCACACGATGTGGGATTCCCTGGAAGGTGGGCTTTTCCTCTGTGAGCAGGTCGCCTGGGTCTCAGGGCACCCCCTCACCGTGGGGGGATGTGGAGAGCTTCTGAGTCTCAAAGCTCTTCCTGTACCAGATTCATAGCCTGTGTGTTTCAGCAGCTCTATTTACCCCTGCAGGGATCTGCCCAGATAGGTGGGGGCAAGGGCGGGGTGGGTTGTGAGAGGTGGCTTTGAGTAATGGCGGCAACCACCAGCGCAGCTATCTTGTACCCAATGTTCCTTCCCCTTAGTTGGAACTATCTGGGCTGCGAGTTTGTGACTGCGGGGCTGCAGCCTTCAGAGTTGTAAATATTCTGTTCTTTTGATATGACACTGCTATCGTTCCACTTCTAGCATTGGGAGGGTGGGAGTGGGGTGAGCTCTGGGAGGGTGGGTAGGGGTTGGCCAGGCTCTGTGCCTATTTCTTCCATCCTCTGCTTGGCACTGAGGGCTTAAACCACCGTTTTCACCCTTCTTCCCTCAGTCTTTGCTCAGAGGTCTCAGCTTTGAGCATTGGGTTCAGCTGTATTATATGCTGATCCCTCAGGCAGGACTGTGGGCCATAAGGGGAGCCCTAGTAGTGAGAATTTTTTCCTCTCCTGCTGACTGCTTTAGCTCTGGAATGCAGGGAGCTTGTCTGCATCCTGCAGGCGCATAGCCCAGGTTTCTGCACTTCCCCCTTTTCTCCTCCCCCGCTTGCCCAATTTGCCCACCTTTAGATGATTTCAGTTGCATGTGTCTTGGGCTGGCATGTCTGCTGCACAGGGAGTCCTTTGTGGAATTATAGCTGTTCAATTTGTTGTAAATTCCAGGGGAGATTTCAAGAGGTTAATGTCACGTCGCCATTTCTGTGATGTTGCCATTTCTGTGACGTCACCTTATTGAGAATTTTAATTTATTTTTTATTTGGATGAGTTATATGATGATTTTTAAAATCCAGAAGAGCTTACACAAAGCAGGAAATAACAATATTTTGCTTTTCTAACATTTTCTTTCTTTTATGAGTTGAATGGTTATATAAATGTACAAGATCATATTTATTTGTTGAATTCTCTTATCTGTCATCATAAAATAGTAAATTTATTCATAGTTTATGCTCAGAGTTATTAGGCCTGATTAATTTAAGATTCAAAGCCTCAAAATATATTACTGTTAATTATTTTTTTTTTTTGTTATTTACCATACTATTTGAACGGAGGGAATGAGAGTGGACTTAGTGATGCAACAGCCTTTCTGCCCTTTTATTTGCATCTTCTATATGATGTTAGAGCAAAAACAGCTTCTGAAGCCCTTCTTTGATCAAAGATAGAAATATCATAGAGTACAGTTGACCCTTGAACAGCGCAGAGTTAGAGGTGCCTGCCCAACCCCTGCAGTTGAATATCGGTGTATGCCTTTGACTCCCTAAAAACTGAACTACTAATAGCCTGCTGTTGACCAGAAGGCTTATTGATAACATAAAGAGTTGATTAGCACATATTTTGTATTTATATGTATTCTATATTCTTACAATAAAGTAAGCTAGAGGGAAAATGTTAAATCATAAGGAAGAAAGTACATTTACCATACTGTACATATTTATTGAAAAAAAATCTGTGTATAAGTGGATCCATACAGTTCAAGCACGTGTTGTTAAGGGTCAGGTGTATTTAATATTGTCAACAGCATATTCTTTCTTCTTCTTTAGTTTTATATATCTTGGAATAATATTGGCCAGAGAGTATACTTGAAGAGGGTTTTTATAAATGTATTTTTTTTAAGGTTTTATTGGGGAATTGCGGGAGAAGAACAGTGTTGGGGCATTGGGGAAGGGGACCAGCCAAGTTGTTCTTCTTCAGTCTTAGTTGTGGAGGGCGCCAGTTGCCATCTGGCTGCCCGTCGGCAGCTTGTGGCCTCTAAGCTCAAGGTGCTGTGTTCAGTCTTAGTTGTGGGTGGGCATACCACCATCCCATGCGGGAGTTGAACCTGGTAGCCTTGTAGTTAAGAGCACACGTTCTATCCACTGAGCCATCTGGGCGGCAGATCAGCTCAAGGTGCCAAGTTCAGTCTTAGTTGCGGGTGGACATAGCCCACCATCAAACAGGCAATCTTGTTACACCAGCTGAGCCATCCTGCCACCTGTTGGCATCTCAGTGACAGCTCAGCTCAGGCGCAGCATCACTGGTCCGTGTGGGAATCAAACCTGCGGCCCTGTTGCTCAGAGCTGGTGCTCTTAAGCGAACTCTTTTTTTTTTTAAAGATTTGTATTGAGGGGAGGGGAACAGCGTTGGGGAATCAGGGAAGGGGAACAGACAGGTAGACAAATTGCTGTTTTTGTTCTTCAGTCTAGTTGTGGAGGACGTCACTTCACTGGTCTGTGTTGGTATGATCATTGTGCTCTTCCCGGGTGAGGCATTCGGTCGCCAATCATTAGTCGGCCTCTCACAGCGGCTCCCGGCAGCTCACACTGGCTGCTGGCTGCTCATGTAGCTCAGGGCAGCCCGCTGCAGCCTTGCTGCAGCTTACGCTGTCGCAGGCGACTCACAGCAGCCCAGCTCCAGGTCGAGCTGTTGTTCATCATCTTAGCTGTAGAGGGTGAGCGTCACTGGCTCTCAATGTGGGATCCGAACCGCGGTCCTGCTGCTCAGAGCTGGCATTCCCAAGCGAGTTCTTAACCAGCTGAGCCACTCGGCCGGCCCTCTTAAGCCAACTCTTAACCAGCTGAGCCACTCGGTCAGCCCCCTATAAATGTATTTTAATGTTCATATATTAACATACCTGGTGAATTCAATGCATTTAAGATAAAAATAATTTTATGTATTTATTTAATTATTGTACTTATGATTATTTGTAGGCGAAACCTAACCAAACTGTCCCTGATCTTCAGTCACATGCTGGCAGAACTAAAAGGAATCTTCCCAAATGGACTCTTTCAAGGAGACACATTTCGTATTACTAAAGCAGATGCTGCAGAATTTTGGAGGAAAGCTTTTGGTGAAAAGTAAGTCTCAAAATAATGAATTTGAACAAGGAAGCTTGTATGGTGGTTTTTTGGTTAGCTATTAATGAAATATTTAAAATATGATAAAACAGAAAAATAATGATTATGTGTGTACTTTCCTGCTTTGATAAATATTAACATTTTTTGCCCCCTCCCCCCTCATTTTTTTTTTATTTAAAGAAATACACCTTTGCAGATTCAGTTGAAACCCATGCTCTTTGAATACTCTTCCTCTCCTCATCCATTATGTTGTTAATGAACATTCGCATTTCATATTATTTGCTACTGCAAACAGTGCTGTGGTGAACAAAATTGTATTTGTATATGCAAGAGTTTCTCCAGAGTTAACGTATATAGGAGTGGAATTGTTGAGTCAGGGAGTTTCACATCTTCTGCTTTGCCAAATATTGCCTAATTGTTTTCCAAAGTGGTTGTACAGTTTATATTCCTGTTAAGTCGTGTACACAAATTTCAGTAGCTCCATAATTTGGCTGACACTGGTAATGTGAATTGGTATCGTATTTTGCTTTATGTTCCTGATGACAAGGGAGATTGAATATTTTTTCACATTTATGACTAGTCAGGATTCTTATTCTGACTTCCTGTTCCTCTTCCTGACTTCTCCATTTTTCTATTAAGTTGTTTGTCTTTTTCCTGTAGTAAGATACTAATTCTTTGTTACATTACAAATATCTTCTCCTAATCTATGGCTTGTCTTTCCACTTTATTATATTGTCTTTTGAAGTACAGGAGTTTTAAATTATGTAGACAGATTTATGAGTCAAGCTTATGTTTTTAAGTATTAATATAAATGTTCTTTTATATCTGAAATTTTGGATCAAAGGACTGAAAAGGTAGAAAGCAATGAGATTTTTCAGTGGAATATACAGACTCGAATGTCTCTTTAAATGCCTTCTTTATTTTGAAAAAGTAATGTTTACATATAAAATATAGAATAATTAGCATATTTTAAAAACCTAGTTGAAGAGGATGGGAATAAGTTTAATTTTGTACCTTTAACTTAATAACTACATTAGAAAAGAGTTCAAAACACCACTTGATCTCTTATTTTCAGACAAGTGAATACTTAAGCCTTTTAAAGGCTTTATTTGTTTTAAGGATTTTAAGAAAGAGAAATCTCTTGCTAGCCTTATCTGGGGTTTAGTCACTCTTATGTCAAATAATTTCTTCCTCATCTCTATCAGAACTCTGTTCTTCCTGTACCTTGAGCTTATTTCCTTCTGTCTAGTCCTTGCTTGGTAGTGTGGGTTTCTCAAAGAACTCAGAATGTTTTATATAGTTTTAAAATGTTAGTTTAAACCCAAGTGTTCAATTAGTGAAGGTCTGGGCCACAGGTTACATTTATTATATATGAAAAGAATAATCTCATCTCTCTTTCCATGCTTCTTTTTTTTTAAAGATTTTATTGGGGAATTGAGGGAGGGGAACAGCCAAGTTGTTGTCCTTCAATCTTAGTTGTGGAGGACACAGCAAGCTCAGTTCCAAGTCCAGTCGCATTGCTCAGCTCAAGGTGCTGTGTTCAATTAGTTGCGAGTGGGCGAAGCCACCATCCCATGTGGGAGTCGAACCAGCAGCCTTGTTGTTAAGAGCACACACTCTATCCACTGAGCCATCCAGGTGGCAGCTCAGCTCAAGGTGCCTGAGTCTTTAGTTGCGGGCGGGGGTAGCCCACCATCCCATGCGGGAATCGAACAGGTAACCTTGTTGTTAGGAGCATGTGCTCTCACCAGCTGAGCCATCCTGCCACCTGTTGGCAGCTCAGCTCGGGCGCAGCTCACTGGCCCATGTGGAAATCGAACTGGCGACCCTGTTGCTCAGAGCTTGCACTCTTAAGCAAACTCTTAACCAACTGAGCCACTCGGCTGGCCCTTTATGCTTCTAATAGAACAAATGTCTGAAGAAAGATGAGAAGGGAAATTAATATGTGACATTTTGCCAAAGAATATTGGAAAAAGACTTCTATTATTAATTTACCCGTTAGAAAGTTAAGAAATATATCATTTACTCTCTTTCTGTTCTTGATTCAAAATATAGCTCGGTTTCTTTGAGAGAATTGAAATTGATATTGAGAGCTTACTGTGGCTCTCTTTTTCTTGATTATAACAATACCCAGAATTATCTGTTACATCACTCTGTGCCTTTTCACTCCCCCTTCCCTCCCCCAGGACAATAGTCCCTTGGAAGAGCTTTCGACAGGCCCTTCATGAAGTACATCCCATCAGTTCTGGGCTGGAGGCCATGGCTCTGAAATCCACTATTGATCTGACCTGCAATGATTATATTTCAGTTTTTGAATTTGACATCTTTACACGACTCTTTCAGGTAGGGTACTAAAACATTGGTTAAAATATTGCTGCTTTTCTGAAGAGAAAACTTAAAAAAAAATAACATTTGGGATATTGCCTATTATAAAAGTATTTTTATTCTAGAAACTATAAGCAAAAATTTAAAACTACCCTGTATTTCATATCTATATGTAGATACAGATACAGATATAGATGTAGATATAGATACACACACATACACATACAGTATTTTTTTGGTAAAAATAATTGTAATCTGCTTTATTCCCCTCACATTTGTAATCTTCTTTTGTTATTAAATACTCTTCTTTTGCATCATTTTAATGGTTGTAGAATGTCCAGAAAATGGCCATGTAATCACTCAACACTTAACAATGGGGATTCATTCTGAGAAATGTGTTGTTAAGGCAATTTCGTCCTTCTATGAACATCGTAGAGTGCACTTGCACATACCTAGATAACGTAGCCTACTACACACCTAGGCTTGTAGTATAGCCTGTTGCTCCTAGGCTACAAATCTATACAGCATGTTACTGCACTGAATACCGTAGGCAGTTGTAATACAATGGTAAGTATTTGTGTATCTAAATATAGGAAAGGTACAGGAAAAATATGGTATGAAAGATAAAAAATGGTACACCTATATGGGACACTTACCATGAATGGAGCTTGTAGGACAAGAAGTTGCTCTGGGTGAGTCAGTGAGTGAGTGGTGAATAAATGTGAAGGCCTAGGATGTGACTGCACACTGCTGTAGATTTTGTAAACGCTGTACACTTAGGCTATACTACGTTTATAAAACAACATGAGACTAAATCAATCACAAGAGAATGTGATGCAATCAAGAGGTACGGTAAACAGGAGATGTATGAGGCTGCTGCTGGCATAACACAGCATACTATTTTACAGCAAACTTTTTTTTCCTAAGTAAAAAGAATACACTCTAAAATAATGATAAGTATAGTATAGTAAATACATATACCATTAACATAGTTACTCTCATCATTATAAAGTATTATGTACTGTACATAATTGTATGTGCTATATATACTTTTATATGACTTGCAGCACAGTAGGTTTGTTTACACCAACATTGCATTAGTAATGTGTTGCACTATGACATTATGATGGCTGTAATATCACTAGGTGATAGCACTTTTTTTAGCTCCATTATAATATTATGGGACCACGGTGGTATATGCAGTTAGTCATTGACCAAAGCATTGTTATACAGTGTGTGGCTGTAATATGATATATTTAATCATCAGTTCTATGTTATTGGACAGTTGTGTATGTTTCCAACTTTTCTTCTATTGTATTGAAATGCTTGACTGTTAATATTGAGATATATTTATTGATGCTTCAAAAAGAACACAATGTGTGTATATGTCAACTTGCATAAACTTTTATTTGGAACTTCTTAGTTGCATGTATAGTTCTTGCCCTGTTTCTGTTTTTTTTTGTTGTTGTTGTTTGTTTATTGTTGTTTAACCTCACTATTGTTAGTTGGAACTGCTTTAAAATTTCTTGAATTTCGTTAAGTTTTTCCCTATAAGGATACATTCGTTTCTTCTTAGCTTTTCAAAGTTCTTATCTCCCAAACACATTTGTCTTCCCTCAAAGTGACCATATAATTGAAAATTTGTGACAATAAATGGAGAATTTATAATTAACAGTTAAGGTTGTTCTTCCTTTCATTCTTCATTGCTCTGAGGCTGTTTTTATATCTTGAGTCAAATGGTCTGACTGACCTCTTGTTTCCTTAGCCCTGGTCCTCTTTGCTCAGGAACTGGAATAGTCTTGCTGTAACTCATCCTGGTTACATGGCTTTCCTGACATATGATGAAGTAAAAGCTCGGCTCCAGAAATTCATTCACAAACCTGGCAGGTTAGTGCCATGAATCAAAGAGGTTTGTTCTCCTGAATTTTATTCTCTTGTGACCTTTGTTAGAATAGAGGAAATGTTATCTTTTATTAGCTCCCCAGTGGCCATGTTTCTGCAGTAGAATTGATGCTTGTTTATCAGAGGAATTGACTCATTCAGATCCTATGATTTGATAAATGCTTAAGAATTGGGCTTATGTGTCTTTTGCTTTTTGGTCTGGAGTCATTGAAGAATCTATTATTGATGGTCCTTCTGATTTTTGTCCATCTTGCATTCTACCCATATATTTTTAATATATGTATTAAAATTTTTGTTTATCTCTGTTTCTCAGTTATATTTTCCGGCTGAGCTGTACGCGTCTGGGTCAGTGGGCTATTGGGTATGTCACAGCTGATGGGAACATTCTCCAGACAATCCCTCACAATAAACCTCTTTTCCAAGCACTGATTGATGGCTTCAGGGAAGGCTTGTGAGTACCTACTGTTACCATCTGCTAGAGTCTAGGAACTGAGGGCTATAAAATTTCATCATTTATGACTTTATTTTATGGTTCATCTACAGATTAAGATTCAGGAACCATATTAACAGGTTCTGTTGTTTTGATCTTCAAGTTCTGTAGGATTTCTGTGTTTATTTAAAAGGGATTCCTTGGGTGAACTTATTTTTTTTTTTACTGCTTCAGTTATTACCGTGGGTAAACGTTCTCTTTCTCTTTTTCCAAATGTTAATTTATTTTCAAGTCTATATTAGATTTAAAATTATACCAATTAGCAGAAAATGTTGCTGGTTATTTATCTAGCCAACATTAGTGTTTAGATGTTTGCTCCTTATGACAGCAGGCTTGGTGTCCTTCATCCTAACTTCACTTTGGTTCACAATGTTTCTTCAGGCTTTGGACTTTTGTAATCTATGCTAATGTTTATGACTAGGTTCTTATTTATTCCAGAATTACTATTCCTTTGGGAATTCAAATTGATTATCATTTGGTAAGCACTAAAAGTACTAACAGATGACTAGGTATCAGAAAACTACTTGTGTTTTAAGATGATTAGGAAAATCCATTTTCCATTATGCATCATCTTCTATGGTAGCATTGGAGCTGAAAGGGTGTTTCCTGAAATGTCAGAGCAGTTTGATGCTAGAGCTTCCTGGTAATCTCAGGGTTTAATTTGCTCCTTGTTACATTTCTTCTAAATTGGTGTCTCTCAGTGTTAAATCTAAACCAGGGTACTTCAGGTCTTTGGTCAAAAGTAAATGCAGTTTAAGAATTTATACTTTGTGGCCATCCATAGGTTAAAATAAGAGTTGGCAAACTGGCCCATAGGCTAGCTGTTTTGGTACAGCCTATGTCAGAGATAAATTTTCCTTTTTAAAATGTTGTTTAAAAAAAAACAACCAAAGAAGAATATGTAACACAGACTTAATGTAGCTTACAAAACCTAAAACGTTTACTATCAGGCCCTTTACAGAAAAAATTTGTCAACCCCTTGATTAAAAGATAGAATCTGTGGCATGGTGCCCTGGAAAAAAAAAATCAGTGTTTGGAGAATATCTTCTTGGAGCTGTTCTGTGTTTTTTGTTGTTGTTTTTTTTTAAGATTATTTATTGGTAAGATTTATCTTTGTTTTGTTTTTTTAAGATTATTTATTGGTAAGATTTATCTTTGCACTTTTGCAAATTTGCCCTTTTACAATGAGGGAATTCCCAGATATCATTTGTCTATGTTAGCAAGCAGTAATAAATTGGCTTCTATAAAATCCCAACGTTGGTTACTGTTTTTACAGCTATTTGTTTCCTGATGGACGGAATCAGAATCCTGACCTAACAGGCTTATGTGAGCCAACTCCCCAAGACCACATCAAAGTGACCCAGGTGACTTTTGTTTTATACTTTAACCATATCGTTAGAGCCAAGCTTTTGTACGTACTTAGTAGAACTGACAGTAGAATTGTATTAAGTAATTGGAACACTTAAATTTTAAACCATTGACTAGATTAGTGAATTTATGTGAGTGTGGTTTCTCTTTAAACCATTAGCTTAACATAGGACCAAGACTCGGTGATTTCTGTTTTATGGGAGAACATTGACCATTGTTGTGAAACATACATAAGCAAAATTTGTATAGAAAGTAACGGTCTTTAATTTTTCTTTTTTAGTATTTATGGTTGCAGTCATTCATTCGTTCAACAAATATCTGAAATAGGCTGAGTAACCTCTTGATTTCTTTTTTTAAATCAAAGGAACAATATGAATTATACTGTGAGATGGGCTCCACATTCCAACTGTGTAAAATATGTGCTGAAAATGATAAAGATGTAAAGATTGAGCCCTGTGGACACCTCATGTGCACATCCTGTCTTACATCCTGGCAGGTATGGATCCAAATCATGCATTTTCTCAGCTGTGTAATCACTCTGATGAATTGGGATTATATATATCCTTTACAGATAAAAAGAATGGCCTGGTTTGCGGGGTAGGTTTTAAATTATTTATTTATTTATTTATTTTTCCATTTTTAGGAAATGTACTTTCTCATGGATGAATATTTTAAATACTTTCAGGTGGGTCTGTTACCATCTCCTGTTTTCTCTGCAGGAATCAGAAGGCCAGGGCTGTCCTTTCTGCCGATGTGAAATTAAAGGTACTGAGCCCATTGTGGTAGATCCATTTGATCCAAGAGGAAGTGGTAGTTTGTTGAGGCAAGGAGCAGAGGGAGCCCCTTCCCCAAATTATGATGATGATGATGATGATCGAGCTGATGATTCTCTCTTCATGATGAAGGAATTAGCTGGTGCCAAGGTAAGACTATAATTTCAGAGACTGTGGCAGAGTCCATTATGAGTTGTGTTCTAGAGCAATAGAGCAGTTAATGACATCCAAACTACAAGGAGTAATAATGGCTAATATTCATTGAGCATTTACTATGTGAGAGATACCATACTAAGCACTTTTCTTAGTTTAACCCATATAACCCTATGAATAGGTTCTATTATTATTCTCATTTAACAGATGAAGAAACTGAGACACAGAGAGGTTAAGGAATTTGCTGAAGATCACACAGCTAGTAAGTTGAACCAGAATCTGTGGCCAGGCATTCCGCCTTCAAGGCCCATTCTTTTACTGTTTGTATCCTAAAACTGGGCTTTACTCTTATAGCTTGGTGGAAAAAATGAAAAGGAATGAAAGAACTGGACCCTGTTTTGCTACTGAGACTAGAATATGTTGTTCTCATGTTTTTTTCTAATGGAATCTGGGCATTAGAAAGTTAGGTTTGGTGGGGAGAAAGGAGATAACTGTTAATAATCAAATAAATGACAACGAAAGTGATTGGAAGGTCGTAGGAAGTACCATGTAGAAACTAAACAAACTAGAAAGGCCCTAGTAAAAATAGGAGAGATAAAGGCTAAGAAAAGATGTGATCAAATTCTGCTACATCAGATAGGGTAAAGCAGATTCTCTAAATCTTAAAAGTAAGGCAGTCCATAAAGATTTTAGTAAATATAGGACAAACAAAAGGTTCTAATATGCTACAGATTCTCTGGTTTAGAATGTTGTAAATTCATGGAGTACATTTCCTTGATATAAATGAAGCTTTCTTTTATACCAGCACGTGACTGCCTGTCACATAGTAGGTGCTCAATAAACATTGAAAGAATGAATTTTATCTCTTAAATGATTATATCCAGTCATTATATCCTCCTCTGAGCCTTCAGTGTCACTGCTTTATTTCAGGCTCTCGTCATCATCTGTTCTGTCTGCTACCAGAGTCATTGATCTACAAAACAAACCTGACCACCTCATTCCTTTGCCTCACACTCTTTGATGACTCCTCATTACTCACTAGGTTAAATCCACTCTCCTTTCCACTTTATAATTTGTGGTCAAGCAAAGCTGAACCACTAAAAGCTTCTCCATGTTTTTGTCTTCGTAGTTTGTATGTAATTTAGCTGTTTTCATTTCCTAGGAAAGCTTTCTAGACTGTACCCTGCTTTCCCCACCCCCAACTCATATGTATTTATACACATATAATCTAGGCCTGACCAGGTGTTCCTGAGGTGCTGTGAATATGTCTGCTGTAGAATTTATCTCCTTGTAATAATTTATTAAATGTATTTCCTGTTATAAGTTCCTAGAAGGCAAGGCCCATGTCTCATTTGAAATTAACTACTCAAAATTAATCACATAGCAATTACTTTGAATGTTTGGCTGGGAACTAAAACATTTCAAAGCAGGAATTGATCAATTTATGCTATTGGGTTGTTGGAAAAGTCATGATGTATTTTTTCTGTTTTTCGTTGCAAAAATGCATCAGGACTTCTCCGACAACCCAATATATCAGTAATGGATAATTGAAGAAACCTGGACCATATGAGTGGTACACTTTTGTTTTTTTTTTGAGGTTGACAGTAATCTTGGCCCCTTTTAATATGTTCTTTGGTTCCTTTTTAAGAGATTTGTTTGACCTCTATAGCAGTTTTATGTTTTTACAAAGATTGCTCTCTGTTCATTTGTGAAAACTTACTGGTAACTCCTGGATATTAAGGAAGCTAAATAATAAGATAAAAAAGTGATATTTCATATATGTATTTATTTGAAATTAAAATACCCTTTTTTCTTCATGAATTTTTATAGATGGTAATACTTATTGTGGGGAAACAGGCACTCACATTCAGTGTTGATGTGGGTACAAATTAGTTCAACCTTTTTGGAGGACAATTTGACATCTATCAAAATATATAACGTTCACAGTTTGAATTAGCAATCCCATTTTTAGGAATTTATCTTAAAGAAATTAAACAGACAAGTGCATAAAGATATAGATGTACTTATCCTTATAGCATTATTTGTATAAGAAATTGGAAACAACCCACATGTCCACATGTGTTAGTATTCGGATGCTGCCACAAGAAATTACCACAAATTTAGCAGCTTAAAACAACATATGTGGTCTGACAATTAAGTTCGCAAACTGATCCTAGAAAAAGTGCTATATACCTCATTGCTGAATATCACTATGGTCACCTTTGACATACTCCCCTTGGGAAGCTATGCACCCACGCCAATGCCTAGTTCACCCTTCAAAGCAATTTTGGAACTTTTTCTGGAATGGCCATCAGAGCTGTCATCGTATTACCCTTGATGTCCTGAATGTCATCAAAATGTCTTCCTTTGAATATTTTCTTTATCTTCGGGTAAAGAAAGAAGTTATTGGGGGCCCGATCAGGTGAATAAGGAGACATTACAATTCTTTGTTTACTGGATAAAAACTCCCTCAAAGACAGTGCGTGTGAGCTGGTGACATTGTCGTGATGCAAGAGCCATGAATTGTTGGCAAAAAGTTCAGGTCGTTTTCATCTAACTTTTCCACACAGCTTTTTCAGCACTTCCAAATAGAAACTTGTTTAACTGTTTGTCCAGTTGGTACAAATTCATAATGAATAATCCCTCTGATATCAAAAAAGGTTAGCAACATCGCATTGATTCTTGATTTGGACTGAAGGAACTTTTTTTGGTCGTGGAGAATTGGCTGACTTCCATTGTGCACTTTGACGCTTTGTTTCAGGGTCGTGTTGGTACACCCATGTTTCATCACCAGTGATAACATGTCCCAAAATATCGTCTTACCTCTCCAAAAGGTCTTGGAAAACTTCGACTCTCCTTTGCTTTTTGTTCATCGGTGAGCTCCTTCGGGACCATTTTTGCCCACACTTCTCATGCCAACATTTTCAGTTAAGAGTTTCCTAATTGTTTCTCTATCGATGTTTACTTGGTCTGCTATGCCTCTCACAGTCAGCTGATGATTTTGATGTGCAATTTGACGAATTTTTGCAATGTTTTCATTAGTTCTGCTCGTTACTGGCCACCTTGACCTCTTTTCATCAGTGACGTGTTCTCTCCCCTCAGAAAAACGTTTTAAAATTTTGTACACTGCTGTTTTCTTCATGGCATTAGCCCCATAAACTTGACTAACATGTCCCTGGTATCACTGCCACTCTTGCCAAGCTTAATAAGAAATTTAATGTTTATTTGTTGCTCTAATTCAAGCTCAGAAATTCTTGCGACGGCACACAAAACACGCCACAATAATGAACACCACTCAGCAATACTCCATCACATGTTGATATGAACACAGCTGTGAGACCAGTGTCTCACACCTGTGAGACACCTCATATACCAAGGTTATGAAACCTTACTGAGCTGTTTGTACAGTGCTGCCCATGTAAGTGCATGGTGGCAAGTTCACGAAATTAATGGTCAAACCTCATATATTTTCCTATAGTTCTATAGGTCAGAATTCCAACACATGTCCCATCAGGCTAAAATCAGGGTTTCTTATGTTGATATTCCTTTCTGGAGGCTCTGGGGGAGGATCTGTTTCCTTTCTCATTTGGGTTTGGCAGAATTTGGTTCCTTGCCAGGATTAAGATCCCTGTTTCCTTGCTGGTTCTCAGCTGATGGTATTCCCAGCTTCTAAGGGCCAACCTCATTCTTTGGCTCCTGGACTCCTTTAATCTTATCCCTCTGAGGTTCTCTGGTTTTAAGGATTCATATGATTAGATTGGGCCCACCCCTGATCATCCAGTATAATTCCTCCACCTCAAGATCATACACATCCTTAATCACATTAGCTAAATTCCTTTTGTCAGATAAGGCAACACATTCACAGATTCTTGTGGGGACAGGGAATGATTATTCTTATTATAGTCCATATAATGGAATGCCCTGCAGAATGAGTTCAGTTTACATATACTTAAGTAGAAAGCTGTATAATATAGATCAAGTTTAAAAAACAACTGTATACTATGTGTAGTATCACCATATTTCTGTAAAAAAATTTGGTTGTAAAAAATTTTTTTGACATGTATAGGGAAAAAATTGGATGACTCCACAGCAAATTACTTTTCTTTCTGAGGATACAAGTTCAGAGGACATTTTTTTTTGTTTTTAAGATTTTATTGGGGAATTGGGAGGGGAACAGCGTTGGGGAATCGGGGAAGAGGAACAGACAGGTAGACAAATTGCTGTTTTTGTTCTTCAGTCTAGTTTGTGGATGACGTTGCTTCACTGGCCCATGTTGGTATGATCATTGTGCTCTTCCGGGGTGAGGCAGATCAGTCGCCGGCCATTGGTTGACCGCTCACAGTGGCTCCCGGCAACTCACACCGGCTGCCAGCCGCTCATGCTCACTGCCAGCCGCTCACTGCCAGCTGCTTAGGGCAGCTCCGCTGCAGCCTACGCCGTCGCAGGTGACTCACAGCCGCCCAGCTCCAGGTCGAGCTGTTGTTCATCATCTTAGCTTTAGAGGACAAATGTCACTGGCCCTCAATGTGGGATCCGAACTGCAGCCCTGCTGCACAGAGCTGGCGCTCTTAAGCGAGCTCTTAATGAGCTGAGCCACTCTGCCAGCCCAAGAGGACTTTTAATTTTATAGAATATTTGAATTGTTTTTTGCACATGTTACTTTTACAAGGTGTTTATTGTGCTACGTAAGTAGCTCTGTGTTGAGTGCTATATGGAATAAGAAACCTAAGACAAAGGCCCAAGGAACTAATAGTTTTATTTTGGAAGAGAATATGCAGGTGAAACACTGTTTAACACAAGGCAGATGGTATACATTGTTCTCAGTTGTTTGGTACACACTCTAAGTGCTATAGGACTTTAGAGGGAAGAAGGAAATAAACACTTTTTTCCAAAGTTGACAAATATGAATGATATTAAATTTACTCATTTAAATAAAAGTGATAAATGTAAACTGTAAAAATTCAAGTAGAGAAAAAATAGCTTCATGTATTGTCACT